CACTGATAGTTGCTGTAATGTCTCACGATGACCCCTGCCTTTGCCTGTCGCATATGCCACTTCTGAGGAAAGCAGCAGCCAATCTATACAGAGTCAGCTCAGCTGCACTGAGATTTAATTAACTTGACCCCGCAACCCAGGCTTTGCATAAACCCAGATAGAGCAGGAACTGCCCGAGAACAACTTTGAAACAAAAGCACAATGATTCTCTTGAAGATACAGCACCGAGAAGCTCACTCCTAAAATAAACAGCACGCTTCCTTTGTGATAGGTTAAAGAAACTTGTTGCCAGCATGTCACAGCATTTACTTCTGAAGGCTTTGTTTAATTAAGCCTCATTAGTTCCACCCTCTGCAGCCTGCTCCTGCCAAGTGCCTATGCCAGGAAGAGCAGCTAGATGGCACCAACAGCCGGCCCATGGCTCAGCCCTTCCACTTGGGTCTTTTGTGTCAGGCCAGCTCCCTTCCTCCTCACCCAAACTTCATCAGAGGAAAAGCAGGGCCACCTAATTGCCCAGACACCCCAGGACCCTGGCAGTGCACTGTGCCCCAAAGGGCGGCTTCCTCATAGAAGAAAGGTTTTTGAGATCTAAGTTGCAAGGATGCTTTGGCTGCTCGTCAAGGGAGCAGCGATGGCAGGCGATCTGTCACACAGCATTCAATCACAGCAGGAGCTCCCGGTACACTTAGGTCGCACATGCTAAGCCAGAAGGCATTCCAGGAAATCATTCCGTGGGATACAAGGAAGCCTTCCACCTCCTTAGGAGCTTAAAACATCTAAGAAAAGGATCTCGCCCTTGCACGCTACTTATACTGAAGCAGATGTTGAAAGCTGCGTTAGCACAGGGAAAATGGGACGGAAAGGGATCCAATCCGTTACCCGAATTCTCTGCATCTCACCTAACGAAGAAAGGAGCATTAACTCTGCTGGCACAGGGCAAACAAAACAGTTACTCAAACAAAATACAGGCAGTTACTCATGTTCACAGATTAACTCCTCCCGCCTGCTAGATGCAATCTTCTCTACTGAGAAAACTGTTCTGCATTGTATTACTAAACAGTTGCTGCATTTCCTCGCATAAGCAGCTGCTATTTTTTTCTGAGAATCAAGTTAAGTGCTATTTTAAACAGCACTCAAATATGTTAAGATTCCAGTTTGGTGGCAATTCAGCTCTAGGTTTTTATATTTAATTTCCTCACCCAGCAAGAAGCTGCCCTCCACTTCCCTTCCCTGCTGTCTCACCAAAATATACTTAAAATTCTCTATTCAGCCATCTTGATTACATTCCCCACTTTGCATCAAAGGAAGAAAATTACAAGCCACTTCAAATAAAGGAGCAGCTGCTTGGGTTTAACTCTTAAATACCTCTTCCAGAATGGCTGTCTCAGCCAGATGCATTACTGAATTACAGGAGAGAGTTTATTCCTACAGGAATTGCTTTGCACTTTGCTTCTGGAGAAGATGCAAGTTCTGATAGCAGGGGAGAAACCAGGGCTAATCAGATCCTTTAAAAAAAGATCCAGGGAGGCTGGCTGTAGGCAAGACCTGAGCCTTCCCAGGGTCACACCGTAGACATCATAAGATAAGCACCGAACAGGAAATTTCCTCCCCCCTGCCTGCCCCTGTAAAAAGCCACAGCAGCTCCCCAGGGATCAGCATGGCTGCTCAGACCAAACCTCTTGCCAGAATAAGCAAGGCTTGACTGCCTGCAAATTCAAAGCTTCGTTCAGGCATCTTGGTATCAGAGGGAAGCGGGAGGAATTTGAGTGGTGTATACAGCAGGTTGCTCCGCTCAGATTCATTGTCTTTAGAGGAAATACCAGTACGGCTTCTTGGCTGCACCGCTCAATTACAATCAGAACAAGGAGCTGGCCAAAAATTGTCACAGAATAAGGTTTACATGTTGTTCAGTACAAAACCAAAGGGTCAATTAGGAAAACTGACTTCCTGGCACAGCGGTTTCCTCCGTGGTCACAGCAAGGTGGCTTAGGCAAAGGATTGTGTTCTGTGTGAGCCCTGAAATGGCACAAGTTTGTTTGCAAGATGCACAACGATGAAAAAAAGAAGTGAAAAGGTAAGACAAGCTGAAGCAAAGAAAAAGCAGCAAGCTTTTCCAAAATGAGACCCATAAAATTAAGGCCGTACAACCCAAAAGCCAGCACAGGCTACTTGGTAAAAGTGGACTTTTTAAGTTAAACATAGTTAACTGCTGGGCTTTTTTTAAACACAGAGAAGGCTCAGGGAAATCAAAGTCTGGTACAACGGTTATTCACTTTGGGTTTGACAAAGCAGCCCAGGAATCTGCCTGTTTACTTTCAGCAGACAAGTTTTATAGATGCAGAAGCACAGCTGGAACAGCACTAATACGGCAGCGATTTGTGGCACAGGGAAAGAAAAGGAGGCACCACAAGGGACTCTGGTTCCTCCCCTCCCCTTTATTACACGTAGGCAGAAAACACAAGTGGTTTTTCTCCCGTTTACTTACAAAGGAAAGGAATACAGAGCTTCAAGTCATTTCACATAACTCCGTGTGCAGCCTGGGTAAACTGCTAGCTGGCTCCAGCACTCTGGCAGGAGCCTGAGCTCCTGGACAAAGTGACAGAGAAGCCAGAGCCAACGCAGCACCCGAGTGACACCTGTAATTTCCTCCCCGGTCCTCTGGGGCTAAAGCTGGGTTGCCAATAATTAACAGGCCATGAGAACTCCAGCCCTAGTTCACCGCTCACCCAAGCTGCCATCCGCATGGCTGGAGCAATGGAGCTTGGTACAGGATGCAGCGTGGAAGCAGTGACAGGAATACATTCCGAGTCAGAGAGAGGAGGACTGGTTCTACATCAACACGTAGCTAGTCGCTCCCCTGCCACGCACAGGCTCTGTCTGCAGAAAGCCCAGTTAACAGCACATTCCCCTCCTGAAAGAATTCATTTATTCGTGTTGGGTATCAGGCTTCCTGCCCTTCCATGTGCACACGCGTAATAAAAAAGTGACCTGCAAAAGATGACAATTTCACTCCTGGTAGGTTAAGACAGCCTCTAAAAACCACCTTCAGTTGCTGTGCTTGGTTTTGGGTATTTTGTTCAGTTTTGTGGGGTTTTTTGCATTAGAAACATTTATAAGGTTTTGTTTTGGGGCTTTCTGGTAACCCATAATCTTGTTGAACTGCAACATCAAGACCGAAGGCAAAGTCAAGGCTGTTATGTGGAACCATTCAAAGGGAAAGTGATGTATCCCTTCCCCTCCTACCCCAAATCCCTCAATAGGAGAGCTCAAAGCAGATCGCCCTGCAGCTCCCAAGAATTTTTGCAAAGAGGGAAGATACAAAAATAGCAAACAGCTCGAATTTCAGGTAAGAGCAAGCAGAAAATTGTATTATAGTGACTGGTGACTGCAAGCCTTCATCACAACAGGCAGCGTAAGAAACTCCTTCATTTACAATCTTTTGCAGGTCTCCCTTTTAAGGCCTTAGTGTCATTACAGAAAGAGGAATTATTTTTGTCTTGTGCTTGCAATTGCTGCCCCCTAGAGCAGCAACAAAATCTCCTACAATTTAACAGTTACAGTGTCTAGTTGTCCACGACCGTGCAAAATACAGACAGGGAGGGATAGAACTACTGACAGGTGTTTAAGCTTGTTGCAGATAAGTTATGTCAAGGACTGTACCTATGTGCCAAGTGTTTTAAACAACCACACAAACAGCCAAATGTTGAGCAACTGCAATACCGCTGCAACTCAGATTCTCAACATCAGCCACAGCAAAGGAAAAAAAACAAAACAAAACAAAAACCCAACCAAAAACGAGCACT